AGTTTTGGGCACCACAATTTAAGAAGGATATAGACAAGCTGGAACGTGTCCAGAGGAGGGCAATGAAGATGGTGATCAGATTTCTAACAACCATCCAGATCGGGAAACAATAGTAACAACCAATCAGGTAATGAACACCCTTACTTGGCACGGCACTTCCTTGACTTCTGGCACTAAAGAAAAAGAGCCGAGGCCCGGGAGTCTTGCCAAAATGGAACAGAGCCGGTTTCCTTACTTTTTCTCGACCTGGAGAAGAACTTGATGCCCCCAGGAGAGGTAGACGAGCTGGAGGTGGGGGAGGAAGAGTCTTTGGAGGACGACCGGAAGATCCCACTGAAGCTCATCCGGCGGGGGGTGCGCGGAGGGGACTCCTGGTAGGGGAAGGGGAACACCGTTTTGGGCGAGCCCGGGCTGTGCTTAGATTTGACAGGAGCCGAGGCGGGGCTGGAAGGGCGGTTCTGGAGCCCCTTTGAGAAGAGTCCCTTGGAAGGGCTGCCCGTGCTGTAGCAGTCTTCCACCTAAGAGGGAAGGAGAAAAGGACAAGGGTCAGGTATTTGCTCTCCAAGCGTGCCTGCTGAAAGACTGCACAGGCGTCAATGCTGGTGACTAGAAAACAGAATGGAATATTAAATCCCAAGCCCTGCTGTCTATGGCAGAGGTGAGGCGAGCGGCAATCAGAGAGAGAGAGAGAGAGAGAGCCTTTTCAGCGGTGGCACCTCCCCTTAGAATTCACTCCTCCTTGAGGCTTCTCTGGCACCTCCCTTAAGTTTCTTTAGGCACCAGGCCAAAACAATTCTTGTTACCCAGGGTTCCATCTTTCCCCCCCACTGTTTCTAGGCTCTGCTTGTGGCCTGAAGACTGTTTATTAATCTAATTTTATGCTGGGTTTTATGCCTGTGGCTTGTTTTACTATCAATAAGTTTTATGTTATTTTTATTATTTTATTGTGTTGTTTTCCTATGCGAGTTGCCTCGAGCAGGTCTCTAGAGGAGTAGCATACGCATTTCCCATATACCTAAATAAATCCTCCCCCTATCCAAAGACAAGGCTTTTTATGGGCATAATAAGAATTCCTGAAGGTCAGGCTAAATTCATGGAGCACAAGTCTCTCAGTGGCTACTAGCCATGGTGACTAAAGGGAACCTCCACCTCTAAATAACAGTGCCAGGAGGCAACATCAGGGGTAGGCCTCAGCCTCCATGCCCTGTTGTTGGACTCCAGAGGAACTGGTTCAGGTGGGTAGGCTGCCATGTTTGTCTCCACAGAACAACATTTGAGTCGTGGGCACTCAAGGAAATGGCTGAGCGGTCAGGTTAGAACGGATAAAAGGAAGTACTTCTTCACCCAAAGAGTGATTAACACATGGAATTCACTGCCACAGGAAGTGGTGGCGGCTACAAGCATGGACGGCTTCAAAAGGGAATTAGATAAGCATATGGAGCAGAGGTCCATCAGTGGCTATTAGCCACAAGGTATAGATAGGGGCTCTGGGGCAAGTGATGCTCTGTCTTCTTGGTGCTTGGGGGGGTCAACAGTGGGAGGGCTTCTAATGTCCTGGCCCCACTGGTGGACCTCCTGATGGCACTTGGTATTTTTGGCCACTGTGTGACAGAGTGTTGGACTGGATGGGCCTTTGGCCTGATCCAACATTGGCGTCTCTTATGTTCTTATGTTCTTATGAGTCTGGTGGCACCTTTAGGATCAACAAAGTTTAATTCTAGGTGTACGCTTTTGTGTGCATGCACACTTCTTCAGATCTGCTGTGTGAGATGAGATGCTGGACTAGATAGATCTCTGGTCTGATGCCGCAGGGCTCTTCTTCTGTTCTTATGTTAGGAATGGGAAAAGATTCTTGCACAGAAATGCAACAGGACAAAAAACTCTGACCCTGATTGCTCTCGCAAGGGGGAGGCAGGTCTAGAACCCACAAAGATGGTCAAAAGTGCTCATTTACCAATCTGATCCAGGATTACTGCTTTCGCACAGCAATCAGCCAACGCCAATGCCAGAACTGAACCAAACCTACAAGGGGGGCAAAACACGCTGACATCTACAAACAAGGGGGGCATCTAACTGGTACACAGTTCCCCGAACATTCTTAATGGTGTTTTTTCAAGGGGTGGGGGTCCAATAATATATGATGGCTGTTTTAAAAACTCTAATCTGATTCCCACCAAAATGCAAAAAGCAATGCAGACGAAGCTTCTTGGTGGATTTTGATCACAACCCCTATCGCCACGCGGGGAGGGGAGGAAAGCCATTAAAATGATATGCTGATATTAATGGTATGTGCTACGCTCATCACTATTTTAATTGTTTTATTGCTAAAGCCATTAATGGGGGGGGTACAAGGGGAAGACAAAGAAAGTTGACCAATTCCCACTCCCGACACCACCACCCCCAGTTATCATTCCAGTCAAGGCAACTCAAAGAAGATAATTTGATTAATTATTCACTTTAATGAGGAGAGGAACGGGCAGGTCCCAGCAAGTAGGATGATGCCAGGAATGTTTTTTTAGTCGGTGGGTAGGGTTGTTTTTGTACTTTCCACGTGCATATCTGACAGTATCTAAACCCTAATAAAAATAGCACACGGATAATCAGGGAGTTTAACACACACAGGCCCTTCCTGAGGCCTGGCAGTCCCTAAAGTTCAAGTTCAAAAAGCAAAGGTAGGGCATCACTTAAGGCCTCGTTCCCAGCACGTTCCCATTTAAATATTAGCCAGGTGTGGAAGCCTTGGAGCTGTCAAACAAGGGCAAAGGAACAAACATCTCCCCCCACCCAAAGTCTTGGGAGTCCCCTCACTTTCCACAAGTCGTTCTGCAGGTTGGCCACCAGGGGGCAGAAGGAGGACGTGAAGGAAGGCAAGGTGATTCAAGAAACTCAGGTAATGAAACTTCCGGGATGCTTTGGCATTTTTTCCCCAGGTGCCTTTGGGGCTGCGCTGGGACTTGTGGGGCTGCCAGCGCTGGGTTAGGAAATCTCTGGAGATCTGGAGGGTGGAGGGGAGGGACGTCAGCAAGGTACAATGCTAGGGAGTCCACCTTACAAAGCAACTACTTTCTCCAGGGGAACTGAACTCTGTCGCTTGGAGAGGAGTTGTAATTCCAGGGGATCTCCTGGCCCCACCTGGAGGCTGGCAACCCTAACTGGGAGTCTTCTCCTGCTGCCTGAATCTTTCTGCAGTGGTGCAACACTTGAACCTGGGGCTTGGAGCTTAGAGCTCAGGGAGGTCAGCAAACCTGGTGCTGCTCCAAGGGAGTGTTACTTATCCTACAGAGCAAAAAAGTAAAAATAAATACAGGCTCTGCTGCCCTGTATAAGATGGGGCACTTTCTTCCCCAGACTTCCCCTCTCTCTGGCACACAGTCCTCTTGGGAAGCTGGGAGCAGAAAGGTACCTCCTTCTCTCTGATAGATGTGAGGGCGAAAACACAGGAGCGGGGGCAAGAATGAAGGAGAGCTCTGAAGCCCCTCCACTCGCCCTGTTTTCAGAAGGCCTGGCCCAAGGGCATCTTCCCCACAGTCCGGTTCAGTGAGGGTGTGCACAAATGGGAGGGAAGCTCTTCAGGGCGCTTCACCCCAGACGCCCTGCAGTGAGAGTCTGAAGGAAGAACGCTCAGCCCACAATGCCCCCGGAGTCTTTGCACCATGCTGGCCTTTATAACTCTGTATTCTGTCCTCTCCCCTGACCTAGAGGGATTAGGCTAGACTGATCTCATCAGGTCTCAGAAGCTAAGCAGGGGCAGCCCTGGTTAGTATGTGGATGGGAGACCACCGAGGGAGTCCGGGGTTGCTACGCAGAGGCAGGCAATGGCAAACCACCTCTGAACATCTCTTGCCTTGAAAACCCCACTGGGGTCACCTTAAATCAGGTGCAGCTTGATGGCACTTTAAGAACATAAGAGAAGTCATGTTGGGTCAAGCCAACAGCCCATCCAGTCCAACACTCTGTGTCACTCATTGGCCAAAACCCAGCGGCCCTCAGGAGGTCCACCAGTGGGGCCAGAACTCCTGAAGCCCTCCCGCTGTTGCCCACCAAGCACCAAGAATACAGAGCATCACTGGCCCCAGACTGAGAGTTCCTATATATACCTTCTGGCTAATAGCCACAGATGGACCTCTGCTCCATATGTCTATCCAATTCCCTCTTGAAGCTGTCTGTGCTTGTAGCTGCCACCGCCACCTCCTGTGGCAGGGAATTCCACGTATTAATTGTTCTTTGGGTGAAGCACTTCCTTTTATCCATTCTAACCCGACCACGCAGCAATTTCATGAAGTGTCCACAAATTCTGGTATTGTGGGAAAGGGGGAAAAGTACCTCTTCCTCTACCTTCTCTGTCCCATGCATAATCTTGTAAACCTCGATCATGTCACCCCCTCTGTCGCCGTTTCTCCAAGCTAAAAAGAGCCGTGACCTCTTTAACCTTTCTTCATAGGGAAACCCTTTTATCATTAGAGTTGCCCTCTTCTGCACTTTTTCCAGTGTTATAATATCCTTTTTGAGGTGTGGTGACCAGAACTGTACACAGTATTCCAAATGAGGTGGCACCATTGATTTATGATACTGGCTGATTTGTTTTCAATTCCCTCCCTTCACTTTCCACCACTGTTTCGTCCCCCTTGTATTCCAGCCTCTGAAAAGCATCATAATCTTTAGCCGCTCCTCCTAGGGACCGTCCCCTGACTCCTTCATTAGGCTGCCTGCACTTTCCATAGCAACTACAAAGTATTAAGGGGCAGGCCTGGAATGGGTGTTGTATTTATTGACTTCATTGATCACCCCCTTTTCTCCCACACTTTTCTCCCCCATTTTATCCACACCACAACCCTGTGAAGTACGTTAAGCTGAGAGCGTCTGGCAGAGTCGAGATTCGAATCCAGGTCTTCCAGATCTTAGTCCGACACATCAACCATGATACCGCGCAGGCTCTCTGCGTTCACAGCATAAGAGAAGAAGAAGAGAAGAGATTGGATTTATACCCTGCCCTTCACTACCCAAAGGTGTCTCAGAGCTTACAAACTCCTTTCCCTTCCCCTCCCCACAACAGGCACCCTGTGAGGTAGGTGGGGCTGAGAGAGCTCTGACAGAAACTGCTCTTTTTCAAGGACTGCTCTGACAGGACTATGACTTGCCCAAGGTCATCCAGCCAGGTGCAAGTGGAGGAGTGGGGAATCACACCTGGTTCTCCCAGATTAGAGTCCGCGCTCCTAACCACTACACCAAACCAAGAGGCAGGTCACTTTGAGAAGCAGTGAGAAGACAGAACAGGGCCGGGTAGGATAGCCGTTCCGGTTGGTGTTCCTTTCCCAAGGTACAGATCGAAGCAGGCATTTCAATGTGACAGCGAAAGGGGAAAAGATTGATACTCCCTGCAAACAAACAGGAACAACAATTGCATTTACCAGATTACATGAGGGGGGACGCTATCAGTCTTCGTGTCAAGAGGCAGTAAGATCGCTGCCATCTGCGGTGAGGAAACGGCCCCCGACGGTATACTCCCCCGCAAACGGAG